CATCGAGAACCCAGTGTAAGTCAGGCAAGCGATAGTGAAGGTCAATCAGAAGATTCTGGTAGACAAGCACCATCAACCCGAGGAAGGCCTGCATCCAGTGTGGGAGAACAACACACATCAGTGCATGGACAGTCAGGAGAAAGCTCAAGGCACTCTGGCCCACACCGAAGACAGGTGCCCTCACATACACACTCTGATGCTACCCAAGGACCATCAGAAGTCAGGAGAAGAGAAAGGCAAGGAGCTCACCACGAGCAGTCTGGAGACAGCTCCAGACGCTCAGGGTCTGCACATGGACAACCTTCATCTGGATCCCACAGCAGAAGACTTGGGGAACCCAGTGTAAGTCAGGCCAGTGATAGTGAAGGTCAATCAGAAGATTCAGGCAGAGCAGCACCATCAAGTCAAGGAAGGCCTGGGTCCAGTGTGAGAGAACAACACAGATCAGTGCTTAGACAGTCAGGAGACAGCTCAAGGCACTCTGGCCCACACCGAGGACAGGTGCCCTCACATACACATGCTGATGCTACCCAAGAACCATCAGAAGTCAGGAGAAGGGAGAGGCAAGGATCTTCCCATGAGCAGTCTGGAGACAGCTCCAGACGTTCAGGTTCTGCACATGGAAAACCCTCATCTGAACACCATAGCAGAAGACATCAGGAACCCAGTGTAAGTCACGCCAGTGATAGTGAAGTTCAAAGAGAAGTTTTAGGCAGAGAAGCACCATCAAGCCGAGGAAGGCCTGGGTCCAGTGTGGGAGAACAACACGGATCGGTGCATGGACAGTCAAGTGATAGCTCAAGGCACTCAGGCTCACGGCGTGGACTGGTACCCACCCATACACATGCTGATGCTACCCAAGGACAATCAGAGGTCAGGGGAAGAGAAAGGCAAGGAGCCCCCCACGAGCAGTTTGGTGACAGCTCCAGACGCTCAGGGTCTGTACATAGACAACCCTCATCTGAACCCCACAGCAGAAGACATCGGGATTCTAGTGTAAGTCAGGCCAGTGATAGTGAAGGTCAATCTGAAGATTCAGGTAGACAAGCATCAACAAGCCAAGGAAGGCCTGGGTCCACTGTTGGAGAACAACACAGATCAGTACATGGAGATTCAGGAGATAGCTCAAGGCACTCAGACCCACACCGAGGACAGGTGCCCTCACATACACACTCTGATGCTAGCCAAGGACAATCAGAAGTCAGGGGAAGAGAAAGGCAAGGAGCCCGCGATGAGCAGGCTCAAGACAGCTCTAGACACTCAAGTTCTCCATATGGACAACCTTCCTCTGGATCCCATAGTGTTAGACATCGGGGACCCAGTGTAAGTCAGGCCAGTGACCGTGAAGCACAATCAGAAGATTCAGGTAGACAAGCAGCATCAAGCCGAGCAAAGCCTGGGTCCAGCCTGAGAGAACAACCCAGGTCTACCCATCACCAGTCAGGGGACAGCTCTGTGCACCCGAGCTTACACCAAGGGCAGGTGTCCACCCATACAGACTCTGACACTACCCAGGGACAATCCATTCCGAGCACAAGAGAAAGACAAGGAGTTGGCCAACAGCAGTCACTTGACAATTCCAGAGATTTAGGGTCTCTTGAAGGGCAAAAAGCCTACTATGCATATTCAGATTCTCATGTTATAAAAAGACAACGATATGGTCCTTCCCAATTTTATTCTTTGAATAATAATGGACAAAGGCCTGGATCAGGGCAACGTTGGAGACATGGTAGCTATGGAAATGCAGAGTATGACTATGGGCAGTCAGGATTTGGTCATTCTCAGAGTGGAATTACTGTGCGGTTTAGTGACGGATATGGTAACAAGCAAGCATTTAGATACTGACAAGAATGTTTGAGATCCACTGTACTAGGCAGTAATAGACATACAACAACAGATGGCCATTCAAATATTTCAGAACCATTGGGTTCGGGTCAGTCACAAAGAAACTATTACAGTGAGTGAGCAACAAATGGAAAAGGTATTAACTCAAGGAGTAGGTAAATGAACCAAGATTATTATAAAACAAGATAGTTTTCATAATACTTTGAGGGAGGTTGTATTTTCCTATCATTTTCTTTAAGTATGTTATATTGTTTTATTTCTTTGGTGGTAGTTTCTATTAGTGTCTCAGGATCATCATATTCTACAATTATGAAATGGGGAATGGATGAAACAGATGTCATATAGAGGTAGTTAGAGAACTACAGAAGAATATGGGGGGAGATTGGGTTTCAAGTAAGACTTTTTTTTTCCTCCCTGAGGCTAAATTTTAGAACTTCTCCACAATGATACATTAATCTTTACCAAAACTATCAAATGTGTCAAGAATATAGAATCACTGTCTTGGAGGTCAAAGATGCTATATTAATATCAAAGCTCAGTGCATATGCCTCTTTCATCCTGTAATTCAAACTCTGTAGTATTCTGCATGCATTGGTTTTACCCTGAGCATAATGAGTTTTAAAAAAATTGTACTTCATGAAAACTGAAAATAAACGATTGATCATATAACATAATTGTCTCTTTCATGCTTATTTTCCATATGTCCCCAAAAACTTTCTTCCCCTGGTCAGAATTGCATTTTTTCCCTCCTATGTCTAAAAACACATGACTACATGGCAGCTATACATCACACAATAGTAACAAGAGGTCCAAAGAAGATAGAATTTAATCAAATCCCGTATTTTTCTCCAACATAATTGTTGTTCACATGATCACCTTGAGGAAGAAAAATAACATTGCTTAATTATGATTGTCACCATCATTATTATCAAAACAACATCCCAAGTGGCTACTAGCCATGTCAAATCAAGAACAAGAAACAGGAATTACTGACAATAAGTCCTTATATAACAGACACTAGTTTAGTTTGAGTAGACACTTTCCACTGGAGACTGATGGGAATCAAGTAGTTGTGATGAAGTATCTTGAAAATATAAAGAAAATGCCTTCATGTCCTGGAAAGAAAACACATGTATCTTTATAATTGAGGCACATAAACAGAGAGGGGGAAAAAAGTAGTAAAAATATGAACAAAACTCTAGCATTAGAAGGAATGTGTCTCTGTGGGAATGATGCCCAAATATACCTTCTCCAAAGACCACACTGAAAGGGATATTAGAGAAATGTTCATTTTTTGCAGATGAATCTATGCACAAACAATCCATACCAAAATAGAAATTAGATCTCAAGTCTCCTATCTCTGAGTTTACTAGGTAAATAAAAGCAGCAAGACATCTTTCTTGCACTTTTCCTTGAATAAATCTACCTAAAGTGAATGTGTCAAAGTTTAAATTATCCCCAATAATGGCAGGGATTGAACATAAAACAACAGACAAGCAAATTTTTCTAACTAGCCTCAGACAATATTATGCCTATTCTTTCCTTATTTTAACAGTAGACAATGTTTTATGAGTTTTCAATAATTATGTTGAAGGGAGTAAGAGCAAATAAGTCCCAGCAGTTTAATTTTAAAATAAATTTGCATGAAAATTATCCTCATGTGTATATCCATAATATACATAGAAATTACTATATATGTGAGTATTAAACAAATAAATCCATGCATTTGCCCAACTGCCCACCAATCAATTCTTTTTCAAAGAACAACTCACTACCAAACAATCATAGAAATTTAAACATTAGATTTTGTCTTATCCATAGACTTCATTGGGCAATGAAGTGAAAGAGAAAGCAAATTAACTCGCTCAGGAATAATCATCATGTTAGTGGAATGCCTTCTGACGCTCAACCAATTTTTTTTTTTTTTTCCCTTCGTACCTATATAGGAATTTTCTCTCCCCTCCCCTCCCCTCCCATCCCCTGTAACCAACAATGAAAGCTCCCTTCCATTTATAAACCTTTCCTTGACTTTTTACAATAATGGACTAATACAATACTTGTACTTCTGCGATTGACTTATCCCACTCAGCATAATGTCCTTCAAGTTCATCCACGTTATACAGTGTTTTGAGGACTCTACATCATTCTTTAGGGTTACACAGCATTCCATTGTATGTACCACAGTTCGGTTATCCATCTTCCATTGATGGGCACTTAGGTTGTTTCTATCTCTTTGCTATTGTGAATAGTGCTGCAATGAACATGAGTGTGCATGTATCTATTTGTGTCCTGGCTCTCACTTTTTTAGGATATATACTTAATAATTTCTGGATCAAATGGTATTTCTCGTTCCAAATTTTTAAGGACTCATCATACTGATTTTCCATAGTGGTTGTTTCATTCTACAGTCTGACCAACAGTGTATGACAGTCTCAATCTCTCCACATCATCGCTAGCATTTGTTATCTTGTCTTGTTGAACTTTACTATTAGTGCTGGGGTGAGATGGTATCTCATTATTATTTGATTTGCATCTCTCTAATGGCTAATGGGGAGCTCTCGTAGCGTAGTGCCTAAGGCACTTGACTGCTAACCAGAAGGCTGGTGGTTCAAACCC